TGATAATCTCCTCAATTTTGATTTTAATACTGAATTGCTGTGCAAAAATGGCCAGCAATGGCTTTTTTGTTTAAGGAAACTCGCTAAAGCTGATAAAAGTAACGGCTATTCCCCCAGATAGTGTCCATCCTCTTAACTCTGAGTATACACTATTACCATCTGGCCTGCGCCTAAAAGCCCCTATCGTCAAAAAAAACAGAACAACCTTATTGATGTTAGGGGATTGTTGACGATGTTCATGTCAACAAGAGATTGGAGCAAATATGTATGGGTTTTAGAATGAACTGAGATGTATTATATCTTATCTGTGGTATTTTATTTGCAGTAGTTATATTTTATCTAGTGTAAAAGTTGTGCAAAATATCATATCGGTAGTTTGGTATATTTGTTGTAATGCAGAATGTTAGTGGTGTGATTTATTGTAATAGGCCTACATATAGTACAGACCTACAGACTGAGACAGACACGTTGGATAATGGTGATGTATATCACACAATGTGTTTTTTGTGTGTGTGTGGGTTTTTTTTAAATATTATTTATAGGCCCTGGGTAGCAATAGGGGTCATTCATGGCCTGCTCCAGATAAGCTAGGACGACCACCAAAAAATATAAAACGATACAATAATACAATAATACAATGCTGACAAGTATGTGCAAAAGTTGGCAACATGAGCATAAAGCACAGTTGAGCGTTGTTGTAAAGTGTGGGGTCAGGAGAGTGTGTGTGAGTTTGGGTAGGGGGGTAGAGAGTGGGAGAGTCACTGACAGTGGGGACCTTGCTGAGGAAGCTCACTGCCATCAGAAAGAAACTGTTCCTGTGGCGAGTGGTTTTGGTCCTGCTGGACCGCAGCCTCCTGCCAGAGGGGAGAGTCTGAAACAGTTTGTTTCCGGGGTGATAGGGGTCAGCTGCAATCTTTCCTTCACGCCTCAGAGTCCTGGAGGCGTACAAGTCCTGAAACGAAGGAATATTGCAGCCAATCAACTTCTCTGCAGAGCGAATGATACCAGATGGTGATGGAGGAGGTGAGGATGGACTCAGTGATGGCGGTGTAGAAGTGCACCATCATTGTCTTTGGCAGGCTGAACTTCTTCAGCTGCCGCAGGAAGTACATCCTCTGCTGGGCCTTCTTGGTGATGGAGGTGATGTTGAGTTCCCACTTGACGTCCTGGGAGATGATGGTGCCCAGGAAGCAGAAGTGGTGACTGGGGTGATGGGGGAGGGTGAGCATACTGCATACTGTGGTTGCCAGTAGTATGTAATATAGTCCAATAGTCCAAGTTTTTGGTATCACAATGATCTGAATGGATTACCTCTCCTATTTTTGTCATAGCTGGATGTTTTGCAGCACTGGCCAAAATTTTTAACCAGCATGCCTTATTTTTGGTCCAGAATGCATCATGTTAAGTCAGCGATGGACAGCGACGCATGAAGTCAAACGCACCTATTCACTACTGAATAGACTTTCATTGTAAAGCCGCCTACAGCACACCATGTGGTGACAAATGATATACTGCAGGAGGCTGTTGTCTGTTCTTAAAGAGGTGATATTATACTCATTTTCAGGTTCAAAATTTTATTTAGGGAACACCTTACCAGAACAGTTTTACATGATTTAATTTTCAAAAAACACCATATTTTACTGCACATTGCTGAAGCTCCTCTTTTCACCTTATGTGTATTTGTACGCTCCGCTCTTGAGCTACAGAGTGATGCATCTTACTTGTACAAAATCTTTGTTGGGAGTTGCACACGCGCAGTTCCCAGGTAAGGACTATTAGCCAATCAGAAGCAGAGAAGGGCGGGTCGTAAGAAAAAAGGTAGTGTGATCCAAATCAAAGCCGCTTCAGAGTGAGACCGTAACCTAGAAGATTGTATAAGTTACTCACAAGTCCACAACCACACAACGTCATTGTTCCACATCTTACCATAAGGACTAAACGTTGAACTGTTGCCGGTGTTCTGACGATCTAAGCTGCCTTGCCGAAAAATGCTACCATAGCGCAAATCGATAGACTCGACTCTACTCGGCCCTGCTCCGTTTTCCATCGCAGATAGTACCCAGAGATAGGACCCAGAGATAGTACCCAGAGATAGTACCCAGAGATAGTACATAGCGGGCGGCTGGCCGCCCTCACAGGCTCCTCCTGCGGGTTGGCACAGGCTTCCACCGCAGACACTTGTGGAGCCCCTCAACTCCGAAAATATTCATCACATTTTTGTTCCGCCATCACTTCTCTTAAAACTGTCAATATTTAAAATCTACACAGCTGATTTCTCACCTCAAAACTTCTCAGAAGTGGATTTAGTGTTTAAATTCCAAACGAAAACTGTAAAATATAAAACTTTCTGTTGCTGTCTGGCACATGCAATGATGATGCAGTGAATAGTGAATATTCTCTCTAACCAGTCAGCAGTCTGTCGTGTTTTCACGTTACATTTTAGTGTCCGTCAGCTCGCTTGGAACCTCGATGAAGGTGAGGTGATACGAAAAAAAGTACCTGGAAGCAGGTACAACATTTCTACAATGGAAACCCAAACAAAGGCGAGTCGAGCCAAAGGGCCTCCGCTCAGACTAGCTTGGTTTGAGGGCGTGCCTGACCCCACTAGCCACTTGGCAAGCTTTATGACGTCTTTTCATTGTGACGTCACAAGCACAGGAAGTGAAGGGCTGGACTATAAAGGAGCTGTTTTCAAGCGGTTCAGAGCAGAGCTTTCTGTGGGAGATGGGAACTCCCTTTGGGCTGGACTTTGGGCTTTTTCACTTTGCAAACCTGTTACATGCACAAAAAAGATATATAACTCAATAAAGGAGAGGGGAAAAGCCAAAAAAGCTTAATACCACCTCTTTAAAATACTGCTGAATATTCTGAATTTACACCCGTTCATTAAGTGAGAAAAACATCTTTAAACAATAGTAAAATATAGTTTGGGTTTAAAATAGCTTAATTTTTTTTATAAATATTTGCTTTTAATAAAGAACAACTCATTATGATAAGGATATATTATTTAATTTTAAATAATATAAGCTTTTTTTCACCTCAGTGGTGGTGAGTCTTGAAGATTTGGACAGCACAACATTTACTGCAACTACAGATAAAACAGTTCCTTAGATATTTTCATTTATTAAATTAACCCTCCTATTGTGTTGGTTTCCTATGATGATTCCCAACAAAAATTATCAGGTCTGTTTAACTGTTAAGTCAAACAAAGCATAAATTATCCCCACCAACTTCATTTCATTATTATTAAGTTCTGCATTATTTTTGGAATTTATGATGTTCAGACCTCTGACATACAGTCCCCTCCAAAAGTATTGGAACGGTGAGGCAAATTCCTTTGTTTTTGTTGTTCACTGAAGACATTTGGGTTTAAGATCAAAAGATGAGTATGAGACAAGAGTTCAGAATTTCAGCTTTTATTTCCTGGTATTCACATCTAGATATGTTAAACAACTCAGGACATACAGTGCCACTGTTTGTATTAGACCACAGCACTCTTAGGTGAGCAAAAGTAAAGGAACAAATAATCTTAAAGTAAATAAATTTAATATTTGGTGGCATAACCCTTGCTTGCAATAACTGCCTCAAGCCTGCGACCCATCGACATCAAACTGTTGCATTCTTCATTTGTGATGCTATTCCAGGCTTTTATCTCAGCTTCTTTCAGTTCTTGTTTGTTTCGGGGTGTTTCTCCCTTCAGTCTCCTCTTAAGGAGGTGAAATGCATGCTTTATTGGGTTAAGGTCAGCTGACTGACTTGGCCAGTCTAAAACCTTCCACTTTTTCCCCTGATGAAGTCCTTTGTTTTGTTGGCAGTGTGCTTTGGCTCGTTGTCATGCTGCATGATAAACTTCCTCCCCATTAGTTTCAAAGCATTTCTCCGTAAATTGGCAGACAAAATGTTTCTGTACACTTCTGAATTCATTCTGCTGCGACCATCATCAGTTACATCATCAATAAATATTAATGAGCCTGTTCCAGAAGCAGCTATGCTCGCCCAAGCCGTGACATTACCTCCACCATGCTTCACAGATGAGCTTGTATGCTTCGGATCTTAAGCAGTTCCTTTCTTTCTCCACACTTTGGCCTTTCCATCACTTTGCTAGAGATTCATCTTGGTTTCATCAGTCCATAAGATTGTGTTCCAGGACTTTTGCAGCTCATCTCTGTACTTCTTTGCAAATTTCAGTCTGGCCTTCCTATTCTGTCCTAGTCTATCCTTCCTGCTGAGAGTGGTTTGCATCATTTGGTGTGGCCTCTATATTTCTTCTTCTTCTTTCAACAGTGGATTGTGATACCTTCACCCTGCACTGTGGAGGTTGTTGGTGATGTCACTTCCTGATGTTTTGGGGGTTTTCTTCACAGCTATCATGATATTTCTGTCATCAACTACAGTTGTTTTCCTTGGCCGACCTGTTCGACGTCTGTTGCTCAGTACACCTGTAGTTTCTTTCTTTTTAAGGACGTTTTGAATTGTTGTGCTTGCTCTGCCCAATGTTTGTCCAATGGCTCTGGTCGATTTTCCTTCTTTTCTCAGCTTGACAGTGGCTTGCTTTTCTCCCACAGACAGCTCTCTGGTCTTCATGTTGGTTTATCCTCTTTAACAGGAAATGCAGTCTTCATAGGTTTGAACCAAGGATGAAACTTAGACCAGTCATGCAGAGATATTTAATGTTTGGACAGTCAACCTAAAAGGCAACACCTGGGAAACAAGAAACATCTGTCAGTCACATGTCCCAATAGTTTTGCTCACTTGAAAAATGGGTGGGTTCAAACAAAGGGTGGTTTGTCCTGAGTTGTTTAACACATCTAGATGTGAATACCACAAAATAAAAGCTGAAATTCTGAACTCTTGTCTCATAATCATCTTTTGATCTTAAAGCTAAAGTTCTAGGCCAATTAAACTCACACAAACAAGAGATATAATACTGACCAGCTTGTTTCAATGCTTGAGGCTTTTAATTTTGCATAAGACAAGAAAGAACAGTTCACTCTGCAGAATAAAGTTGTGCTAAAAGCTTTCTTTTCATTACACATTCAGTCTGCTCGTATTAAAGAGACAGAGACAATCCAGCTGCTGTTTATGTCACTTGTCGCTTCTTTCCTTAAGTAGCGTTACAGCGATAGAGAAGAAATAAAGATGTAAATCGAGATAAAGAGAATTCAGGTCAAATATGAGACTGGTGGCTGGAGAGAGACGAATTTCCTCTCAGATACACAAACACATGCTTTTATCATTCCTCTCTGACACAGATAGATGGGAACTGCCAATCACAATAGAGGTCATCCCAGCATTTCGAGTCTATAAGAACCAAAAATACAGCAGTCAGACAGCAAACCTGAAACTGTTGAATGAAGCATTATGTAGACAGATCATTCATCCTGGGATATATTGTCCGTTTGAACATCATCACTCACAGTTACTCTTTATTGTTGTCATTACAACACCACAGTTTCTATGACTACATTAATAGGTTACTAATAAATCTCAAAATCAATCGTGTACATTTTGTAGGTTAGGATGTAATACCATGTATTTGTAACTACAAGTGCAAAAAATATTAAAATTGTAATTCACCAGCCTTTTCTTTGATATTCATCCTGTCCAGTTTACAACAATTATACACTGAGCTCTCATTGAAAATAATGTTTTATTATTTACCTCTAAAATTAAAACCAATACAGTTCTGACGACCACCAGCGTTATCAGGCTGTCCAGGACACCACTGAGTAAAGTGGAAAGGCGTTCCGTCACTCCAGAACCAATGTCCCTCCTTGAGCACAGAAGAGAATATTGAACGTTTAAAAGACAATAATTATTTAATCAAATAACTTTTGCACATTATGTAAATGACAAATAATATACCTGTTGTCCATCAGACCCTCCAAGCCAAGCTATTACTTGATTTTGAGTGTTGCTCAATGTCATCACCGCCTGAATCACACCGGACTCCTTGGAGTTTTGAACAGATGCGAGGTTTCCACCCAAAGAGTGACAGTTTCTCTACAGAGGAGGAAGAAGTGTAGAAAGTAGTGAACAGAACAAACATTGTGTGGAAGGTTCACTGAATAAAGATAATCCCCATTACCTCAGCCACAGCCCAAATCATGGGTTGTTGAACGAAGAGATAACATCGACCGTCAAAAGGAGTCCAATCTTTTGGACATGATGTGGACCTCTTGACAACATGATTCTCTTCTGTCATACAAAAGAGTGGACAGTGAGTCTACAGTAGCAGTAGATAAATGCAGTATTTCTGTTTGTTTACAGGAGAACATCATGACAAATTGTACTTTAATATAATTCTTATAAAGTACCGACTGACCTGTTGGACTGAACGAGTTGGTCCAGTTTCCAGCCTCTGCGTCTGGAAGAACTGCACAGTTTGACATAGTACTGATTTAAGTTGTCTGCTGTTTACATTGTTTATTTATGAATACATTTAATTACACATGAACATAAGCTGTCTCTCTTTCACACTCACTCACATATGGAGTAATACTCACCAGCAGCTCTGGTCAGAGCCATCATGGCACAAAGAAGTGCAGACAGAGTCAGCGTCTTCATGGTGGAGATGATGCAGATGTTGAAGATGATGATACCTTTAATAAAGACAGACAGGGACATGTTAGTAATACTTCTCTAGGGAAGAGACCACCTGTAGTGGCAGTCAGGTCAATATAATGACAGTTTGTGAGCAAACCTGCTGCAGAACGATCTTCTCTTCCTCCTTCTCAGCGTCTGTAGCTTCAGTTGTCCTGTCTGGAGCTGCTGAACCAGAGAAACTCTTATACAGTTCATGACGGATCTTGCCAGGAACTGAGGATGCAATCAATTATCTTGCCACCTCACAAAACCAGAAACTAAAGACAAAACACACAACCAGAATACACATTTACAGGCACCATGTCCAGCTTAAAGTTTTGTTTGCACAATGTTTGTAACCACCAGAGCTGTGAAATATGATCACAAAAGAAACATACTAGATCATTTTGAAGTGGAACTCAAACTATCAAATGACGTATTTGACATTGGCATTGTTTCAATTCACTGATATTTATGTAGTGAGCATTTTGCAGAGCATCCATCACTTTAATTATTATATTATTATTATATTATGTTTAAATGTAAAGCCTGTGTTCAGTACAACTCTGAGAGACAGAGCACAGGAAGTGAGTGAAGTGAGCTATCACTAAGGCTTGTTCTGCTTTGATTTGTCTGATAACACAAGATGCAGATGTCTGATGACTAAGTCCTTCATACAGTTAAAAGATGTAGTTACAAATGACCAAGATCTAAAAATGGTATCGTAAAAATGTACCTTCCTTTTCAAAATGTAAGGAGTTGAATGTGTTTTAGAGATGTGATTCCCTCTGAATATCTTTTTCTTTGAGTTGATCCAATCAGTTACCGACAGATACGTTATATCTTTTATCACTCTTCAGTCTCTAGTTCACATGTCGTTTACTCATTTGTATTTTAAGAATATTAGCCTCCAGTGTCGCTACTATTAGTTCTGTAGAGATATAAAAGCTCTGACTGACTCCTGTGCTGGATGTTTTACTGTTACAGCAGTAGCTCCGCAGCTGACACGGATATATATTGTACTGACCAAACATCAGAAGGATATATGATAGTGTGTATGTTTGCGCTTACCTGTCTTTATGTCTTTATTTTTTAATGAGCTGCCTTTTGGTTACACTACAGAAGGGATGAAGATGTCAAACATGGTTTAACACAATGGATTTTCAAATGCTCTTTATCTGTCATTTTTTTAATGCAGTGCTACCCTTCTCAATTCCTAAAAAAGTATAGTAGGATTCATCAGAAGGAATTACTTCTTGACCCTGTAATGGCTGTTAGCTGGGTGAACTGTAATTCTATTAAGGATACAGGTGTTTGGAAATATATTTCAGATTCATGTTTGCTACACTCTAGTCAACAAACACACAAACCAGTATTTTATTCTTCTACCATGTAAATTATGCTCTAAAGGCTGGTGTGCTGTTCTGTCTCGTGTTCTTACAATTTTATAGCAGTAGACAAATATTTTCAATTAGGAGATAACAGAATTTACTTTGTAGTGTTTGTTTTGGGCTGCTGTCACATGAGCCTTGTTCAACATGTGGAACTATATCAGGGCGTTGTTGGATGACGCCAACAGTGGATAAATAATGGTCTTACACAAAACCATAAACAGCCTATTGTACAAACACAAACATTAGCATATTGATGGATAATTTATTTATATCCTTTGCTTTATTAAAAATATTAATGCCTCACTTAAAAATACTCACAAAAAAAGCACTGTATATTTAAAATGTTAAGTAAAAATATGTAAGTAAAATTGGGAAAATGTACTCAATGTAGAAAGAAATATGTCCCCTGTGACTGTTATACTAATATATATTATCATTTGATTAGTATTACTATACTACTGAAGTAGGATTATACAATCATATATCACATTTTTTAAACTCTTCATATTTTGTGTGTAAAAATTTTACTTTGTAAAGTTACTGAAACTGTTAGACAAATGTAGTGAAGTAAAAAGTACAATATTTCCCTCTGAGATTTAGTGGAGTAGAAGTACATGAAAAGAAAATACACAAGTAAAGTACAAATACATTTAATTTTTACTTAAGGACAGTACTTGAGTTAACCATCACTGAATATTAGCAAACACACTATTAGGACAAAATATTAAGAGTTTATAGAGTGCACCAGGGACGTCACTAGGATTGAAAGACAGGGGGGGCTTGGCCCCCAGGGTATGCGTAAATTGTGCTTGCAAAATATTTGCACGCACATCTTTTGTTACTGGATTAGAACTACACTTACACTATATTATAGTTTATTGTTGCCTGCCTGTACATGCACATGAAGGTTAATGACATCCCATTCTTAATCCGTAGGGTTTAATATAGAGTTGGCCCACCCTTTGCAGCTATTACTCTTCTAGGAAGGCTGTCCACAAGATTTAGAAGTGTGTTCATGGGAATTTTTGACCATTCCTCCTAAAGCGCTGAGGTCAGGCACAGATGTTGGACAAGAAGGCCTGGCTCGCAGTCTCCACTCGTTAGTCATGGAGTTCCACAAGGATCTGTCCTCGGACCAATCCTCTTCACTTTATATATGCTTCCTTTAGGCAATATTATCAGGAAATATTCCATAAGCTTTCATTGTTATGCAGATGATACTCAGTTATATCTATCGATCAAGCCAGATGAAACTAATCAGTTAGCTTAACTTCAAATGTGCCTTCAGGATGTTAAAACCTGACCTGTAATTTTCTAATGTTAAACTCAGAGAAAACTGAAGTTATTGTTCTGGGGCCTAAGCACCTCTGTGACGCATTATCCAAAGATATAGTTTACCTTGATGGCATCGCCCTGGCCTCCAGCACCACTGTGAGGAATCTTGGAGTTATCTTTGATCAGGACATGTCATTTAAGTCTCACATTAAGCAAATTTCAAGGATCGCCTTTTTTCACCTACATAATATTGCGAAAATCAGGAACATCCTGTCTAAAAATGATGCAGAAAAACTAGTCCATGCATTTGTTACTTCTAGGCTGGATCACTGCAATTCCTTATTATCAGGCTGCTCGAAAAAAGTCCATTAAGACTCTTCAGCTGATCCAGAATGCTGCAACACGTGTTCTGACAGGAACCAGGAAAAGAGATCATATTTCTTCTGTTTTAGCTTCTCAGCATTGGCTTCCTGTAAAATCCAGAATAGAATTTAAGATCATTCTTCTTACCTACAAAGCTCTCAATGGTCAGGTATCATCTTATCTTAAAGAGCTCATAGTACCTTACTACCCCACCAGAGCACTGCGCTCCCAGAATGCAGGGTCACTTGTGGTTCCTAGAGTCTCCAAAAGTAGACTAGTAGCCAGAGCGTTCAGCTATCAAGCTCCTCTCCTGTGGAACCAGGTTCCAGTTTGGGTTCAGGATTAGTTTCATCTGGCTTGATCGATAGATATAACTGAGTATCATCTGCATAACAATGAAAGCTTATGGAACATTTCCTGATAATATTGCCTAAAGGAAGCATATATAAAGTGAAGAGGTTTGGTCCGAGGACAGATCCTTGAGGAACTTTGGCATGAATGGAGGACTCATCGTTAACATGTACAAACTGAAATCGATCTGATAAATAGGACTTAAACCAGCTTAGAGCAGTTCCTTTAATGCCAATGAAATGACAATGGCAAGTCCTTTGTCTGATGCAATAAGGAGGTCATTAGTAATTTTCACCAGTGCTGTCTCTGTGCTATGATGAGCTCTAAATCCTGACTGAAAATCCTCAAATAAACTATTGCTCTGTAGAAAGTCACACAGCTGTTAAGCAACTGCTTTAGAGAGAAATGGAAGGTTAGATATAGGTCTATAGTTGGCTAAAACATCCGGATCAAGTTTGGGCTTTTTCAGAAGAGGTTTAATTACAGCTACTTTAAAGTACTGTGGTACATAGCCTGTTGTTCAAGATAGATTGATCATATCTAGTATAGAAGTACTGACTAAGGGTAAAACTTCTTTAAGCAGCCTTGTCGGGATGGGGTCTAAGAGGCAGGTTGATGGTTTAGATGAAGAAATTATTGAAGTTAGTTGGTAAAGATTGAGGGAAGCAAAACAGTCTAAACAGTCTATATATCTGGTTTTACAGCTGTTTCTAAGGTTCCTGAGTTTAGAGATAAGTCGGTGCCAGTTCAGGGCAGGTCTTGGTGAATTTTGTTTCTAATAGTTAGAATTTTATCATTAAAGAAGCTTGTGAAGTTGTAACTATTGAGAGCTATGGGAATACTTGTTTCAATAGAGCTGTGACTCTCTGTCAGCCTGGCTACAGTGCTGAAAAGAAACCTGGGGTTGTTCCTATTTTCCTCTATTAATCACGAGTAGTTGTGCTCAGGCATTACGGAGGGCCTTCCTATAAGTTTTAAGAAAATTAAACAAGAATTTTCCAGTTTGGTGGAACACCAATTCCTCTCAAGTTTCCGCGATATTTGCTTTAATTTGCGAGTTTCAGTATTATACCATGGAGCTAACCGTCTTTTTGTTTTAGTATTTTCTTTTTTAGAGGGGCTACAGTCGAGTGTCATTCGCAGCGAGCCTGCAGCACTATAAACAAGATGATCAATTTGTATGGGATTAATATCCTGTCTTGATTCAAAACTGAAAATGAAGTTCTGAAAGGTTGAAACTAAGTGTTTGAAAACTCAAAATCTTACAAAAAAAAGTTTTTTAAGTTCGAAAACTAAGATTTGCAAGCTTGCAAAATGTAAAAAAAATTCAATAATCTCTGCAAACATTATGTTGTTTTTGAGTTTTCCTTCTTCAGAACAATTTTTCAGAGTTTCAAATTTTCCAGTGTTTTCCAGGTTTGAAACCTTGTAAATGGTGATCTGAAAACTGGTGTGCAAATGTGTGAAAAAAAGGTTTGAAACTCTGAAAATTGAGGTTCGAAAGGCCGGATCTTGTGGCGTGAAGATGCACGAGAACAAGACAAAAATATAGCACTATTTAGATGAAGCAATGATGGTGAAATATATGTGCTGGAGGTCTGGGTACTCCCCCAGAAGACTTTAAGC